AGACACCAATCCCTGGAGGTGTTCAACACCAGAGTTGGAACAACGTGGGTCAGTGAAAGTGTCCCTGGCCATGGCAGGGACTGGGATGAAATGGGGCTTGAGGTCCCTTCAACCCAAAGCACTCTGAGTGGTTCTAAGGCCCCTGAGAGCAGGGAAGGAGCTGTACTCCACACACCCCATGGCAGCGCTCGGGCACCTCTCCCTCCTGGCATTACCCAAACCCTCCCTGGCAAGGTGGGAGCAGAGCAAGGGCTGTGTCAGCAGGCAGTGACCTCCTCACCCTGCCTGCCCCAAGCACCCTTGGGTGCCCTTTCCCATGACCAGCTGCACCCTGCACCCTGCCAGCCGCTCCCACAGGCCCCCAGCCACGCAGAGGCCACGGCTGCAAGCCAAGCTCTAATTAGTTCTGTGCTTCATTTACCTCTGCACTTGCACTAGGCTGGACCTAAGCGCACTCCCTGCAGCACTGAGGGCAGAAAAAGGCCTGTTTCCACTGACCTAGCACCTGGGACCAGTCCAGGAGCCTCCTGTGGTTTGGAAATCAAAACATCAAAATTCCCTTATATTTATGGCAAAGCCTCCCTGACCACCTTCCCTATATAAAATGCTTTGGCCATCCTCYCTGGTATTTCTCAGCTACTGTCAGTGCTCTCACTGTGGTGAGCTGAGGCTAAAAGTTTGTGGAAAATCTCATCCCACRTCTCCAAGAGTCAGGAAAAATCCTGGATGGCTGAAAAATCCAGTGACACAAACAGAAAGAAGATTCTTGGCACAGCCTTGACTGTGCTGCATCTGCTCTGCTAAGCAGGTTCATTTATTTCCAKCCTGTAGCTGTCTCCTGCCATTTAYAGCAGCTGCCTTAACGAACTTCCAAGGTAGACACTAAGCCTGAGCCTTCCTAAATTCATGTCTAAATACCCTTGATGAATTCATTTGATCTTTCCATGAATGGGCCGTTCCATTGTCCATAATAAACTCTTCCTGCAAAGCAGGCACTCTGAGTTGGGAAGCAGTACCAGAAATTTTCTGCCTCCAATGCAAATTTGATCCAGCCCAAACCTCACCTTCACTGGGAAAAATGGTCCATGTGGAATGGCAGCACAAGCTTCAAACAGCACCTTGAATAATGAAATKACTCCCCTGCAAACATGCAAAGTGCTCCTCCAAACTCACATCTGAGGGCTCAAGAGGGGATTTGCACTAAAACCCTTGAGAACAATTTCCTGATGGATGGAAGAGGAATTGTCTGAGCCAACTGGAAATCTTCACAAACCTTTGATAAGATATCCCCCTCCCCTCGCTCTTGCTCTATGGGTCCTCTTATCCCTACTTTTAGGAATTCCAAAATTTAAATTCTGCAGTTGTATTTATCCACCTGGCAACATTCTGACATCTGAAAAAAATCAGGTTTTATTCTCTTCAAGGCTGCAAGTACTAAGAGAATTCTATTCCCTGGCAATAAGAATTTGTCAGACCCACAAGTGGTTTTAGAAAGTCAGTAGAGTATTGCAGCACATGGGTTTGGGCCAGGAAGGTGAGCCAAAGTGACTTGCAGGGCAACCAGACAATGAGAAAAAACCCCTTCCCAGATCAAACAGAGATGCATTTCCTCATGGGAAAATCTCTGCACGCCTGCAGTAAAGAATGAGGAAGAGAGAAATGGACTCAGAGAAACTTCATCTGCCTTCCTTGTTCCTCCCTTGTCTCATCTTTGCAAGTAAGAGAAAAACTRCACATCCACTTTGACTGCCACAAGCAGCAGCTGACCCGATGAGGCACAACCACTGCTAAAAAATGTTTGTTCCTCAGTGCAAACCAGGGCTGGGTTGGTGGGAGGAGGTGTTTTTAGACAAGAGGTGCTGGGATATTTCACCTGCAAGAGGGATTTGTCATGGTCTGCAGKCCTGCCTGAGAAGCAGGGTGTGAACACCAATGTTCCCTGAGTGCAGAGACAGCCCTGCAGGGCTGGAATGTCCTGAAAGGGTTCTGCAGAGGGAAAATCACCTTCCTGCCCTGCCCCTCCTCAGTCTAGCAGAGTATCCCTGTCTGGATTGGTGAAGGAGGCATGSTTCCCAAGCAATCATTTCCTTAGGCTAAAACATATGTACATACATTCAATCTCCCCAACTCTGTCCATATGGGAGAGCTGAAGGTTATCTATAAACTACCACAGTTTGGCTTGTTGGGCTCAGCTGAACACAGACTAAAAAAAAAAAATAAGCACTGACATCTCCAGACTGCACCAGTTCCCAAATGCAGAGGCACAGCTAGAATGGTTTGGAACTGGAACAAAACTTTTCTGAGGAAGGTTTGCTTTTCTGGACCTGTTTATTTTCCTGCTGGTATCCATAGACATGTTTCATCAGGTTTGGTTGCTGTGTGATGAGCAACTTGACCTGCTGAGTCAAACTCAGAGTTAGTCAAAGTCTGACTGCAGAGTTTTCATCCAAGAAGCTGAGAAAGCATTTTCAGGTAAGATATTGAAGCTTAGGCTTGGTGGTCCCTAGGGACAGATCAAGAAATCCAAGGGATGTACTGAATTGCAACTGGCTTAAGCTTCCAACTCAGGAGAACAAAGGCCTCGAAACACAGGACAAACAAATTGTTCCCTGAACTCCTACAAATCATTTTAACAACTACATTATTACAGACTTTACAAATCAAGCTACATATTTTGTCCTTGTAGTAGAAGATAAACTAAATCACCACTTATATACCCAAGCTGAACTGACAGTGTTTAATACTGGCCAAGGTGATCACTGCAAATATCAACAAACAGAAGGAGCTGTATAAATTCAGGATTTCTTAAATTGAGCTGTGTTGGACCAAAACTCRCAATGTCTGAGTTTTCTTTCTGTCAGATCAGATTTTGCTTGTTTTAAACCACACAGYCCTCACACATATTCCAGKTTCTGATATCCCACAGCWRTCTCAAATCTATGACATAYASTTCATTTCAGCYTTCTCCCAACTCCATTAAAGTTGCTGCACAATATTTCCCAGCTCTTAGCTTCTAATATTCTTTKGAAACTGAATTTGAGCCACCTACCCCTCAATCAATGCCTATTATGGGATGAAGATTAAAATCCCAGGGTTCTAACTGAGGTTTCTTGCCAGATTACCAGCCTAAGTTGGTACACACTCCCTGGAGAGTAAAATGCTTCTCTTGGACACTTGTGTGACACAGCTGGTGGACAGAGAAGAAAGGCTTCTTCACAAACAACAGAATGGGTGGGAAATACAAAATTCAGGTCAACTGAAGACRAGCTTCAGAAGAGAAAAAATCCAGGGATATGAGGCAACTTGTAATTCAAGACAGTAATCCAAACTRCCCCTCTCCTTTTCAGAGTTCTAAGCTAACTGAGCCAGCTGGTAAAAAGATCTGGCCAGCAGCATGAAACAGCAGGTCCCTGCAAGGACCTGGAACAGTATCYGGATACATGAGCTGGTGAACAACAGAGAAAAGGGCCCAGTGATGAGGAATGAATGCTACTGCTTGGGACACCTGGAAAATTGATGTGATTCTACTCCAAAAATCTGCAGGGAGAAGAGGTCAGGGGGGTAAAGCCTACAGGAGAAGTGCAGATGGAGAGGGGTGGACAGAGGGCATATATGCAGGTGTAAGCACAGATAGGAACATGCTACTGCACAGAAAAATAGAAGAGAAAAAACCATGAACCCTTCCTCAAATGACACAGACACAGTGATGGGCATAATGAAGGGCAGGATATGAAAACCTGATGGAAGAAAGGAGTTTTCAACCATGGGCACACTTAACCTGTGGAAACAATTCCTCTAGGATATGAAACATTCAGAAGCCAAAAAAGGAACTTCTACAGGCCTGCTCACCTGCATGCTAAAGAACAGAGGCRTAAATACAAAAATTAAATTTAAAATATTGGAGTTCTTGAAGATGGGTAATCATGTCTTTTGGTGTAAAACCAACTCCTGGTTTCTGAGTGCTGGCAAAAACACTTCCTTGGGACAACCAGAGAACTAGAGTGGCAAGASCAAATGCAATCTGTGACTTGCCTTCCTCTCCAGGTGCTGTCCTCTAAAGCTGGGAACTGGGTAAAGATGTGACTGATCTGCCTCATGTTACTGTCTCTATATACAGCAACTATCCAGTACCACAAATTCAAAYTGGAAAATGAATGATTTCTTCAATCCAAGATCCAGTCATATGGCTCTKTCACACAGGAAGCATTTTCCCAGTTAAAAATTCCTCCAGCCATCTGGGATGAGCCTCAGCAATCAGAGCTGTATCACATCCTGGCCTGCTCTGCTGTACTCAACCCTTGCCAGCCTTTCCACCTCCATCCTGCTCCCACTGAAGCAGACATCTCCCAGATTTCAAGACAAGATTGTGGCCAACAGAGAATACAGCAAGAGGAATGGGACCCYGTGACAGTCTCTGCATAGGGATCACACCAGCTAAAGATCTCTGTCCTCTGGTTAACAATTCTGCTGGGAACAGCAGCACACAAAATGGACCTCACTCGCCTGTCAATATTTAGATAGTCAATCCCTATGGATATTCAAACATACAGCAAAGCTACATTTTATTCTTCTTTTTGTTTTCAAAACTTAAAACTGGTTAATCACCAAAGGGAAAAGAGCTGTTAACACCACAAGTCAGTGACACATGAAGCCAAAACCATGGGTGCACGTCCCAGAGCCAGGGCAGAAGCTGCAACAGATCCACCCAGGCCCTGCTCAGTCTTTGCCCTTGCTTGCTATCTCCTTACACACAGTGTCGAGTTGCTTTTTAAACATTTGGCCTGTTCCTGCCTGGCATCTGCTCAAGGGCCAGCTCAGGTGGTACAGAGGGATGAAATGTCTGCTCTGGCCTGTGCCTTTTCTAAGCCACAGCAGTTATCCCACAGCAACTGGCTAAGACYACTCCAGCCCTGCAACGTGAGACAATTGTTTTTGTGGATCAAGTTTCATCCCTAGACAACAGACCATTGTAATGAATGACAACTGGAACCAGTACTCACTGAGTGGTTTAAGGATGCTGCTGCTCGTCTCGTCAGCATTTTCTACGTCCGATTTGTCCGAGTAGTTCTCTGAGATTTTCTCCTTTTCTTTCTTTTCTTTGTGTCCTGKTCTTCTTCTGTGACGCCTCCTCCTCCTGTAGCTCTTCGGCACGTGGACCCCGATGTAAATTGTGTGGTGACCTGGGGGACACAAGCACACAAATATCAACTTCAGCACAGTTTAGGCAGCACAGGCCAGCTGCATCCCACTGAATCCCAAAATATTTTGGGTTGGAACGGACCTTGAAGTTCATCTCATTCCAAACACCTCCCACTATCCCAGGTTGTTCCAAGTCCCATCCAACCTGGCCTTGGACACTTCCAGGGATGGGGCAGCCACAGCTTCTCTGGGCACCCTGTGCCAGGGCCTCAACACCCTCCCAGGAAAGAATTTCTTCCATATATGTAACCTAAATTTACCCCCTTTCAGTTCAAACTCATTACTCTGTGCTCTACCCCTGATTCACTCCAAYAGGCAAGTGAGTTATCCTTCTTTGCTGGCCTAACATTAATTATTCTTGTCTCCAGATGTGAGCATGGAGCTCTGTARCTACCATTTGAAAAAGTATTTTTGTCCCATCATTTCTGGGAGCACATGCCAGTGCAGACTGGTAAGTRCTGTCCTTGTGACTCATTTAAATACAAAAATAAACCCCACAGAAGGCCATCATACTSATTTTGTAATATCGAACAGCATGCTTTTCAAACACATTCTACAATAATTTTTCCATTTGTTTCACAAAATACATTGGCTGAAYTTAACTACCTCATGCCAAGTGATTCAGCTTAATTGAAGAGCTTAGACCAACAAAATTTCCATCACTTGACTGTGCAGTCCATTGTATAACAAGCATCAGAGTACCATCAGATACCTTACAGGGTGCTGCTATAGAGATGCCATGCTCTAAGGACCATTAGGGTGTTATTAGAACACAGCAGAGGAGGAAGGACTACTCACACAAGTTCCTATCAACTCCTACTCAATGCTTTCCACAATAAAAACTAACTAGTAACAAAGTAAGTGCTAAATTCCATGCATTGGCTGCAGATCCCAAGGATGCCTTCCCSTTGCACTGAGATTTGGATTTCAAACCAAAGCACTACAACTACATTTGCTAATTGTTGTGCCTTTTTGTGTMTGATAAAATGATTTATTTTCAGGGCTTTCTGCACTCTGTCTACTTGGGATGAATATCCTGTGCTTACAGAAAGCACTTGGACATCTTTTTCTCTGTCCAGATCGTTCACACATCTCACTGTGAGCTGTAAAAACAGCTCTTCCCAAGGCAACTCTTGAGAAATGAGAGCTGGATTCTGTGCTTTGGTTTCCCTGCTTCTGTCCCAGTGTGGCCAAAYGGAGAGTTTCAGATGAACACACAGGTGACTGACTAAACAAACTTATCTGAACGAATGACCCACAAACTAAACATGTGTCCAATTCCTCCTTATGATAAATTCAATCTTGGAGATTGAACAAATGAAAATTTAGGCACAAAATACTCCCTTTCAGTAACAAACCAAATTGTCAATGACCAACAATCCAGCTTTTACCATTTCAAATTCCACACACCCCTAAGACCAGCTGTCAAGCCTGGAGAGTCTTTCACCTTTTTTTGCATGTTTGCTCATCTTTTCCCAAAGCCCTGCTGTGGCCAGGGACAMCTTYCACTACACCAGGGAGCTCCAAGCCCTGTCCAACCTGGCCTTGGACACYKKCAGGGATGGAAGGAACAGAAAGCTGGGGCTGAGCAGGGTTCAGATTTGGGCAGTGGAACAGTGACAGAAGGGTCCTGTGTCTGCTGCCCCGGGGCAGAGCCACAGGGACATGGACAGCAAAACCTCCCAGACCGACACCTGAAGATCCGATTTAGCTCTTGCGTGCCAAAGGAAAGCCAGAAAGCTCTTCCAGCAACTGGAAACATCAGCTTTATCGTGGCAGATGGCCTGAGTGCCACATGGGGACAGAGAAGGGGAGATCTTATCTGAGCACAGGCAGGAGCTGGAGGGTGGGGGGACTCCAGACAGACGGGCAGTGGAATCCTAAGAGATTCCACACCCAAAACTGAACCAAAAGCTTGAGACAAAAGGTGTCTGTATTAAACAACATCCCCCTTTGAATCACTTGAATTCTGTGGTCAGTTTGATAATAGAAACACATCATAGTAAGCCAGTCTTAATACTTTAATATGCTGCCAACAGGACTGGACAATCTCTTTAATCTTTGGACCACGTGTGCACAGTACAGATTTTGGTAACATGAAACTCGCTTGTATATACACAGGCAAACATCTGCATTACTTCTCTGCTTTTCTCTAGTCCAAAGGCAGAGACTTATTTAATGTTCCTTTCCGTGTCCCCGCTGCCCACTCAGTGGGGACAAGTCTGTTTAGGGAGGCCAAGCAAGACATTTTCCTTCTCCCTGAACCTCAAATGCTTGGCATCTGTTTATATTGTTCCAAAGGCTGAGATAATCTYCTAGGCTCCCTTCCCAAAGCGCCTGGAAGGAAACAATTGACACATACTCTGAATGCACTGGGCTCCTGGGACACTTCCGACTCACCGGGGGAACGCAGCCTTTCCCATGAGAACCACAGCCTGAGAAATGGAGTGTGACACAGGCACCACCAGGATCCTACAGCCTGGGGAGGGAGCCGAGCGCGACACTTTGGATAATTCAAACCTGGAGTTGTCTCTTGTACACCCACCACTCTCCAGAGGACATCCATTATCCTCTGAGTGCACCTCAGTACACCAGGGTGTATTTCACAACACTCAAACCCCACTACCACATGTACAGCCAGACCTGCAGGGGCTTCTTTGGACTCTCACCAACTGTAGCTAAAATCTTTGACTTTTGTGCCCACAGAAAATCTTTACATTACCCCAAATTCACAACAAAATCATTTCATCTGATTATTAATAAAGCAAGAAGTAGCCATCATCAGGGARGTTCTCCTGGAAAAACTCTGTTGAAACTACATTTTTTGCTTTTTTAAGAGCTRCTGAAGAACAGCAGTCCATGATTCAGCACCCATATCTGGAGCTTGGGCATAGGAGACTGCCAGAATCAGTTTTAGAGGCCAGGTTGGACAGGGCTTGGAGCAACCTGGTCCAGTGGAAGGTGTCCCTGCTCATGGCAGGGCTGTCAATTAGATATCATTAAGGTCCCCTCCAGCCACAACCATTCTGAGAATGATCCTCATCCTTTATCATGATCCTCTCCATTTTTAAGCACTAGCTCTTTTTTTTTAAAGGGTAACAGGGCATGGCTTTTGCTCAGTAAAACCAAAACTCAGTCACTTGGAGAAAGGAGCTGAAAGTTAGCGGATCAAAGGATAAAGTCTGCCTGCTGCATCTAAGAAGGAATCCCTTCCACATGACTGGGTTCTTGAGACTCAGAGCGTGGTAAGACCAGCCCATAAAGAATCTCACACTGGCACCTTAGAAGGAAATAAGATCAAAATCTAATATTAAAGATGTATAAAGGAACGAAAATAAACTGAGCATCGGCAGTTTTTACCCAGCCCTTGTTTTCCCTAAAAGACTCCTTTCTGAAGAACAAGGAGAGTCACATTACACCCAATCAGGCTGCAACAGGCTCATGTACACAGTGCCAAAATCTTCCCCACAAGCTCTGGACAGATATTTCAGGCCACTGAAAAATGGGCTTTGCTCAGAATGCCCCAGCCATGTCACTTGGCTGGCCTATAGAAATGACACAGACAGGTAAAAGTGAGATTGGACAGGGCTTGGAGTGACCTGCTCTAAATGGAAGGTGTCCCTGCCTATGGCTGGGGATTGGAATGAGACGATCTTTAAGGTCCCTTCCAACCCAAACCATGCTGTCATTCCATGAAAGTGTGACCTTCTCAGCCCATTTTCACAGGGCAGCCATCAGTTTTACCCCTGGGTGGAGCTGAAAGGCAGCACACCCTGAGACAGCCACATGYAGCACAGAAATGTGCTCTGCACTCACAGCAGGGGCAGGGACAGAGCCCACCAAGTGCTTGGTCAGCACAGGATGGCCCAGCACGGCTCTGTGCCCAAGGAGGTGCTGGCACACAGCCAAGCCCACAGAGAGGTGGCACCAGCCAGGACACTGCCAGCATCACAGCCAAGCCAGCAGCTTATACCAACCCAGGGTGGCAGCAGAACGTGCTTCTTGTTTTATGGGAGAATTAAAGTAAATTAACAACATAAARAAAGCTCGTGGCTCAGAAGGACAAATAAATCAGGGGGATGATCCATTTTAAAAGGGAGATACTAAAAGTAGCGCTAAGGAAGTCCCAAACTAAGCCCTGCTTAGTTTCAAATCAGCTCAAGAAATAAGAACAAAGGCCACGGCGTCACATGCTGGGTGCCCTTAGCTCTATCTGGTTACAGAGGGGTTTTACAGGTGCTGGTGGCAGCAGAGGGGCAGCTCTAGGACCTGCACCTCACCCAGCTCCACCTTCCAGGACAAAGCTGTTCCACACTCCCAGGATGGGACCCACAGCCAGAGGGACACCCTACAGCAGCTGGGTTAGAAACAGGGAGCACAGGGATGTCCTTAGTGCTGTGCAAGAGCCAAGAGCTGTTCCCATTCATGCACATGGACAGAGACAWTGACTCCCCCCAAAAACCCAAACTAGACCCAGTTCTCTAGACAGGCTGCCCAAGCACAGTCTTAGGTTTTTCAAAACACGCCGGTATTCAAGTGACCAATTTTCCATGCAAGTAAAAATCCTCTGGTCAGGGAAACAGCAAAAGGATTCACTGAGCAATTTGTGGCAATCTGAACAAAAMTGAATGCACTAGCTGGAGACAAATGAGATCCAAATCCCTTCTCCTCTAAAGAACAGTAATATGCAATGAGCCCATTCTTCTATGGTGTGGCAGTTTGCCAAGGAAAAGGGTCAGAATAATCCATCAGGCAATGGGAACAACCATAAGGCTGAGTAGCAGGTTCACAGACTGATAAACGACATCAGGAGAGATGAGGCAGATATAAGGGCAAAATATAAAACAGAGGCTTCAGGAGAGACAATCCTGTGCTACTGTGCCATAAACAAAGGAAAGAAAATGAGAAACATYAGGGATCTGTTTCAGTCTGCCAGCTCCAGCACAAGAATGCCAAATTCATGGCTAAGATTCAAGTGAGG